CTGAGATAGTCCCGGCACTGAGATAGTCCCGGCAGTGAGATAGTCCCGGCAGTGAGATAGTTCTGGCAGTGAGATAGTCCCGGCACTGAGATAGTCCCGGCACTGAGATAGTCCCGGCAGTGAGATAGTCCCGGCAGTGAGATAGTTCTGGCAGTGAGATAGTCCCGGCACTGAGATAGTCCCGGCAGTGAGATAGTCCCGGCAGTGAGATAGTTCTGGCAGTGAGATAGTCCCGGCACTGAGATAGTCCCGGCACTGAGATAGTCCCGGCAGTGAGATAGTCCCGGCAGTGAGATAGTTCTGGCAGTGAGATAGTCCCGGCACTGAGATAGTCCGGCAGTGAGATAGTCCCGGCAGTGAGATAGTTCTGGCAGTGAGATAGTCCCGGCACTGAGATAGTCCCGGCACTGAGATAGTTCCGGCAGTGAGATAGTTCTGGCAGTGAGATAGTCCCGGCACTGAGATAGTCCCGGCACTGAGATAGTTCCGGCAGTGAGATAGTTCCGGCAGTGAGATAGTTCCGGCAGTGAGATAGTCCCGGCAGTGAGATAGTCCTGGCAGTGAGATAGTCCCGGCACTGAGATAGTTCTGGCAGTGAGATAGTCCCGGCACTGAGATAGTCCCGGCAGTGAGATAGTTCTGGCAGTGAGATAGTCCCGGCACTGAGATAGTTCCGGCAGTGAGATAGTCCCGGCAGTGAGATAGTTCTGGCAGTGAGATAGTCCCGGCACTGAGATAGTCCCGGCACTGAGATAGTTCCGGCAGTGAGATAGTTCCGGCAGTGAGATAGTTCCGGCAGTGAGATAGTCCCGGCAGTGAGATAGTCCTGGCAGTGAGATAGTCCCGGCACTGAGATAGTTCTGGCAGTGAGATAGTCCCGGCACTGAGATAGTCCCGGCAGTGAGATAGTTCTGGCAGTGAGATAGTCCCGGCACTGAGATAGTTCTGGCAGTGAGATAGTTCTGGCAGTGAGATAGTCCCGGCACTGAGATAGTCCCGGCAGTGAGATAGTTCTGGCAGTGAGATAGTCCCGTTACTAAGATAGTCCTGGCACTGAGATAGTCCCGTTACTAAGATAGTCCTGGCACTGAGATAGTCCCGGCACTGAGATAGTCCCGGCAGTGAGATAGTCCCGGCAGTGAGATAGTCCCGGCAGTGAGATAGTTCCGGCAGTGAGATAGTCCTGGCAGTGAGATAGTCCCGTTACTAAGATAGTCCCGGCACTAAGATAGTCCCGGCACTAAGATAGTCCCGGCACTAAGATAGTCCCGGCACAAAGATAGTCCCGGCACTAAGATAGTCCCGGCACTAAGATAGTCCCGTCACTAAGATAGTCCCGGCACTAAGATAGTCCCGGCACTAAGATAGTCCCAGCACTAAGATAGTCCCGTCACTAAGATAGTCCCGGCACTAAGATAGTCCCAGCATTAAGATAGTCCCGGCACTAAGATAGTCCTGGCACTAAGATAGTCCCGGCACTAAGATAGTCCCAGCACTAAGATAGTCCTGACACTGAGATAGTCCCAGCACTAAGATAGTCCCGGCACTAAGATAGTCCCGGCACTAAGATAGTCCCGTCACTAAGATAGTCCCGTCACTATGATAGTCCCGTCACTAAGATAGTCCCGTCACTAAGATAGTCCCGGCACTAAGATAGTCCCGGCACTAAGATAGTCCCATCACTAAGATAGTCCCGGCACTAAGATAGTCCTGGCACTAAGATAGTCCCGGCACTAAGATAGTCCCATCACTAAGATAGTCCCGGCACTAAGATAGTCCTGGCACTAAGATAGTCCCGGCACTAAGATAGTCCCAGCACTAAGATAGTCCTGGCACTGAGATAGTCCCGGCACTAAGATAGTCCCGGCACTAAGATAGTCCGGGCACTAAGATAGTCCCGGCACTAAGATAGTCCCGGCACTAAGATAGTCCTGGCACTGAGATAGTCCGGGCACTAAGATAGTCCCGTCACTAAGATAGTCCCGTCACTAAGATAGTCCCGTCACTAAGATAGTCCCGTCACTAAGATAGTCCCGGCACTAAGATAGTCCCGTCACTAAGATAGTCCCGGCACTAAGATAGTCCCATCACTAAGATAGTCCCGGCACTAAGATAGTCCCGGCACTAAGATAGTCCCGGCACTAAGATAGTCCTGGCACTAAGATAGTCCTGGCACTGAGATAGTCCCGACACTAAGATAGTCCCGTCACTAAGATAGTCCCGGCACTAAGATAGTCCCGTCACTAAGATAGTCCCGTCACTAAGATAGTCCCGGCACTAAGATAGTCCCGGCACTAAGATAGTCCCGGTACTAAGATAGTCCCGTCACTAAGATAGTCCCGTCACTAAGATAGTCCGGCACTAAGATAGTCCCGGCACTAAGAATAGTCCCGTCACTAAGATAGTCCCGTCACTAAGATAGTCCCGTCACTAAGATAGTCCCGACACTGAGATAGTCCCGACACTAAGATAGTCCCGGCACTAAGATAGTCCCGGCACTAAGATAGTCCCGG